ATTTAAGTGACATGGTTATAGTTTTGACCATAAAACAATTGACAAAGAACCTTGCCATTTTGTAGGATATAATATTCCAAGATAATAATTTCCTGATAAATAATAATTATTATGAAATCACATAAGAGAACAATATAAAGTTTATATTCTTAGGTTTAATATAGAGTTTTATAATACATAAAGAACAAACAACTTATAAGATTTTAAAAAGGAGCATATGGCTCTTGAAAGTATGCATGGAGCACTGTACACAATTCATAAACACCCCAGTGTGTGGATCACAAATATCTGGAGTTCTACTGCCAAATGCTGGTCCAGTGTCACCGACAAGATACCTGTTACTCCTGAGAATTTCCTGTTTGAACTCAGCTCTGAATCTTTACAAGTTCCTTCCTAGAGCAGACTGAAATTTTTATTCATTTTAATAAAATATGTATTCAAATAAAACATAGTTAATATTACTAATTTTTATTTGACAAAGCTTCCCATGTAACTTTCCAAGTATATTAAAGAGGCCTAATTAGTTTAGAAACTTAGGAGAGAGAATGAATCCTTGAGGTGTTTCAGGGCCCACTGTAATAACTCAAAGTCATTTCTCTGTTAAAAAAAAAAAAAAAGAAAGAAAGAAAGAAAGAAAAAAGAAAGTCTTTTGAAATTTAAGCTTTGGGCGCTAGCCGGTTTGGCTCAGTGTATAGAGTGTTGGCCCATGGACTGTAGGGTCATGGGTTCAATTCCTGTCAAGGACACATACCTCAGTTGCAAGCTCGATCCCCCGACCCTGTTGGGGCATGCAGGAGGCAACCAATAGATGTGTCGTGTCTTGCATCATGCTTCTTTCTCTCTGTCTCTCCCCATCTCTTCCACTCTCTCTAAAACTCAATTGAAAAATATCCTCATAGGATTAACAAACAAACAAAAAAAAGAGAAAGAAATTTAAACTTTGGGAAGGTTGTCAAATATACTTAACCAAAAGATCCTATAAAATAAAACCCTAATATGCAAATCAATCGAACAGTGGAACAAGTGGTCACTATGATGCACACTGACCACCAGGGGACAGACACCTTATGCAGAAACTGCCCCCTAGTGGTCTGTGTACTCCCACAGGGGAAACGCTGCTCAGTCAGAAGCCGGGCTCACAGCTGGCAAGCACAGCAGCAGTGGCAGGAGCCTCTCCAGGAATGTCCACCTGCTGGCTTAGAGCCTAAGCCAGCAGGCAGACATCCCCTGAGGGGTCTCAAGAAAGTGCAGCCCAGGCTGAGGGACCACCCCTCCCCCTGCCCCAGGTCCTCTAGCTATATTATAACTCTAGGTAAAAACAAATGTATATATTATGGTAATAACTTCAAAGGTTATTAATTAAACTTAAACTGTTTTTAATATTAAATATTTTGTCTAGACCATAATATCCTATTTAATTTATATAAGTATTTAACCTCTGTAGGCCAATAAAACATTATACCCTAGTGGTGCCATCTGGAGGCAGAAAACACATATACAGGCAAATACATGAAGACCATACACATGATTTAAATTATTATTATTTGTAGAGAAGATATAGTGCAATCTTAGGGGAGGCCCCAGGAGAGGTCTCAATAGAATATTCATCAGCTTCCCAGATGTGCTTTTTCAGGGTCATGGTCTCTACAGATTGGTCAATACCAGGGCAGGGGGCCATTAGTCAGTGTAGCTGGTCCTGAGGCAGCCATGACATCACTTGTCTGCTTTTGCTGCTTTTCTGGACCTGGAGCTGAAATACAACTGAGGCCTAGATATTATCGTTAGGGAGGAAAAGGTCAGGGGGTCTAAACTGCCAGACCAGCAATATGAAAGATCAGGGGTCCAAACCACTGGACCAGTGAGCTGCTAGGAGAGGATAGGTGATCCTGAGGACAAATTTTTTGTTTTCCCAGTTTTGCCCCCTGCTAGGCATCTGGAGCCTTCTGCCCTGGCAAGTTTCTGTACCTGGCCGATCATCCTTGCTCTGGTGATCTAACAGTTACTTTCCATAGAAGCTCTAAATTTTTTTGGTCCACAGCTCCCACTAAGACCAACCCTCAGATCCATTTTGTCACATGATTTTAGCCACCACTCAACTTGAAAATTTTCTGTGTATCAATAATTGCTATGTGCTCTCACTGGATCGCCTATCAACCCTGCACAGTATTATTATTATCCTCCTTATGCAGAGGAAGAAACTGAGGCACAGGGGTTTGTACAACATGCCTCAGGGCAAGGGGTCCACAGCAAGGTCTCAATTTCGGCTCTACTGCTTCTGCCCACCAAGGCCAGCACTCTGGAGACTGTGGCCAAGGTCTCAGGACCTGGCAGCCCCAGGTCCTCGGGCGTCTGCACTTTCTGTTCCTTCTGCCTAAAATCCTCTTCCCCCACCCCCCCCCCCCCCCCCCCCCACTCCCAACCTGGCTAAGTCTCCTCCAGGAAAGGTTTCTAACCAAGTCCCCTATGAGTCCCCCTGTCCTTCTCAGGAGAACTTTGCCCATTTCCCATTTTACTGTTATCCCGAGCGCTGATATGTTCCCTTCCCACCTGTTCCAGCTAGTGTGAGAGCTGGTGGCCAGCGATCACATCTGGCTGGTTATGGTGGAATCCCTGGCTCCATGCCACAGAGACCTTCATTAATATTCAGCAACAGGTTGAAGCCGGAATGAGCGATGGGGAGCTCTGGCTGCCCCACCCTCCCATTTAGCACCATGAAGATGGGATTCACACTAAAGATCCAGAAATTGCCCCCTCCCCCGGTTGTCAAGTGGAGCATGGGAGTTTGGGTGACTTTTGGTTGTGTAGTAGGGATGTTTGAGCATTCTGCAAGGATACAGGCTCCATCACAGTCTCTAGGGAGGGCGCTGTGGTTCCCCATGTCCTAATGAGCCTTTATTGCCTGCCCTGGCCCAGTGCTGGGGAGGGGGAGGGGGGTGTGAAGGAAGGGGACACCATGGCTGCATAACAAATGCGTGGTCTCCCTTCTCATCAAGGACAACAGGCCCCCAGAGTGGAGGAAAGGCCCTGTTACATAACATTTCCCAGGCTCGGAGCCTGAAGAGGCTTACAACTCCAGCATTAATCACAGCATTAATCAAGAGTTTATTATGGGAACGTACATTACTCAGAGGAGGCACGTCATATGGGAAGGAAGATGTGAGCATACTCCAGCCCTCCTGGCAAGTGCTAAACTGTCATATCGGACAGGTCAGAACGGATCCGGGCGCTGGGCATGCCGCACCCCAGACAAGAGGGAAATGCCTGACACAGGCATGTCTGTGGGGGCAGGGCACCAGGCTGTTCCTGGAACCAGCGCGTGTGGAGCCCAGGGGTGGGGTCGATCTGTTTGGGGCGGGGGAGATGCGGATTTAGGAGACTCTGTCTCCCTCGGGTGGCGTCTGGCATCCAAGTATAGGATCTGGCAGCAATCACATCTTAGAACAGTTTGCTCCCCACTCCCATCCCTATCCCCACCTGCCCACCCTCACACCCTCTCGGGCCAGTTGCGGGATCAGCAAATTCCTGCTGTAATACTTTCGAATACCCCGGTTCCACCCCGCCCTGAAAAACTTTGTTCCATCCCCAAAGAAACTGCGGCCGGGAGAGTTAAGGCCTGGAGTACCGTTAGCTGGAGGGGGGGCGAGCCCCTGCACCCTCATCTCCAGCGCCATCCCCCGCCCCAGCCCCTTCCAGGAGAGTCCTGTGGGAGCCTCGGCTGCACCTCCTGTCCCATCCCATCCCCCCGGCTCTGAGAAACCGCCCGCTGCCCTCCCGCCCCGCTTCCTGCCCCGCCCCTCGGCGCTATTTAAGGCGCCCCGGCCTCCAGGCGGGGTCCCAGCAGGGCTCCCGGGCGCCGCTCGGCCACCGCGTCCCCGCCAGCACCTGGGCCGCCTGGCAGGCAGGCGGTGAGTGCGCTTGGGGGCTGGGGTTGCTGCTTAGTTGGGGGGAGTGAGGGCGGTGGGGTACCAACCACCTTAGCGGCATTCATCCAGGCTGCCCGTGGACAGGCTTTGTGCCAAGCAAGGTTCCTATCCCCTTTCATTATATCCTTATAACCGCAGGAGACAGGAATATTATTTATTATTATCATTATTATTATTATTATTAATTATTTCCATTTTACAAGAGAAGTGCTGAGAGGTTCTCCCATAAGCGAGGTCTCAGTTTGTAAGAGGGAGTCGGGATGGGAACCCAGGTCTGGTTCCTCTGCTCCTCCTTTCCCTTCCGCCCCGGGCCCCAAGATGGCTTCGCCCCGGGCCCCAAGATGTTCTGGAAGCCGTGTGGCCTGTGCCGCTCCCCTGCTCTCCTGCTGTGACAATTGGGCAGCAATAGCGTGTGTGTGTGTGTGTGTGTGTGTGTGTGTGTGTGTGTGTGTGTGTAGGGGGTGTCTTGGGATGGAGGGAGGGGGCAGGATCAAGCGTCCATCCTGAAGGGCAGGTCCCGATTGCTGGCAGGTGGAGCTCACACAGGATGCTGTCTAACGTTCCTCCTGCCACAAACTCAAAAGTTAGAATGAGATCAGAGGAAGGGAGTGGAGACCCCGGGCTTTGGGTACCCTGAGAAGCTGAGGATCGCACCACCACCCTCTCCCCCTGTCTGGGGACAGCCTGTCCTGGACAGAAGGGACGAGGGACACGGCACAGCTGTGTGACCTTGGATATGTTCCTCTGATGCTCCATTCCCAGAGTCTCAGGGGCCTCAACTTGAGCTGAGTCTTTTTTTGGGGACTGTGGTCACCCTGGGACTCCGGCTGGGAACAAGAGGGACCCAGATGTGTGACTAGACGGGACCTCTGCCAGCGGCACTTAGCAGCCATCATCCGAAGATGTGCTTTTAGTCCTGACCACCCTGCTGGGTGTGAGCCCTCAGGCCAGTCCCTTCCCTGTCCTGAGCCTCAGTTTCCCTGTAGATAAAAGGGCATGGCCCGCCTCACTGCAGGCTTGTTGCTAGGCCAGCCGAGAAGGATGCCTTGCTGACCCGTGTTTTCTGTCTCCCTGCAGACAGAAGCCCAGGAGCCATGGGTGACTGGGGATTCCTGGAAAAGTTGCTGGACCAGGTCCAGCAGCACTCCACCGTGGTGGGCAAGATCTGGCTGACCGTGCTCTTCATCTTCCGCATCCTCATCCTGGGCCTGGCCGGCGAGTCCGTGTGGGGTGACGAGCAGTCGGATTTCCTGTGCAACACGGCCCAGCCGGGCTGCACCAACGTCTGCTACGACCAGGCCTTCCCCATCTCCCACATCCGCTACTGGGTGCTGCAGTTCCTCTTTGTCAGCACGCCCACCCTCATCTACCTGGCCCACGTCATCCACCTGTCTCGGCGCGAGGAGCGGCTGCGGCAGAAGGAGGAGGAGCTGCGGGCGATGCCGCACAAGGACCCGTGCGTGGAAAGGACGTTGGCATCCATAGAGCGTCAGATGGCCAAGATCTCGGTGGCCGAGGATGGTCGCATGCGGATCCGAGGGGCGCTGATGGGCACCTACGTGGTCAGCGTGATCTGCAAGAGCGTACTCGAGGCAGGCTTCCTGTACGGCCAGTGGCGTCTCTACGGCTGGACCATGGCCCCCTTGTATGTGTGCCACCGCTTGCCCTGCCCCCACTCGGTGGACTGCTATGTCTCTCGCCCCACCGAGAAGACTATCTTCATCATCTTCATGCAGGTGGTCGGGTTCATCTCCCTGCTGCTCAACCTGCTGGAGCTGGTGCACCTGCTGTACCGCTACCTCACAAGGAGACTGAAGGCCCAGCAGGGCCAGAATGCCGCCCTGGCTCAGGGCACCAGCCCGGAGCCCTACGCTAACCAGGTCTTCTACCTCCCCATGGGCAAGGAGCCCTCATCCGAGCCATGCCCCGTCTACAGCGGGCTCTCGTCCAGTGAGCAGAACTGGGCCAACCTGACCACGGAGGAGAGGCTGGCTGCTTCTAGGCCACCCCCCTTTGTGGACCCGTACCCCGAGAGTAGCCAGAAATACCCCAGCAGCCATGCCTCTAAGAAACAATATCTGTAGGAACCTGGGGCTTATGTCACCCGACAGCAGGGCCTCGGAAGTCTGGCTGCCTTGGGCGCCCCTCCTTGAAGGCTCTGCAGAGATGACTAGGGCAGGGGAAGCGGGTGCTTGCTGGCCATGGGCCTCACTATCAGTTGTTCTTGGACACCTGGGGCCTTCCTAGTGACCAGATGACAGCTCATGGTTTCCCCTCCAGAGCCTGGCTTTGCCGCAGGAACAGACAGAGCCAGCTCGGGGTGCTCCTGACCAACGGCTTCAGCCCTCTGGCCTTTTTCACTTTGTCCAGAGGGGCCCGAAGCCAAGTGACTCCACCCCCACCATCATGGAACTTTCTCCTCCACCCAGGTTGTCCTCGGCACCCTCTCCTGACAGGAAGAGCCTGGACCAGGCCGCTGGGTAGGCCTGGATTACACACGCAGCACCTGTCAGGGAGGCTGGTGTCTTGTTCTCATCACTCCTTCCTGGTTCCGCTGTTTATGCTTCTAAAATAAACAGAACTTGGTCACAAGCGAGGTGTGTGTATTGATGCTGTCGGGAGGTGCATGAGGGTGGGAGCTGAGGGGTGGCCTTGCTTTCCCCAGATAATCTGCCTTTGGCCTCTGCAACCCCAACTCCCGCAAGCACTTTTCACCTTCCAACTCGTACACCCTGCCTCTCAGCAGCCCTGAGTGCTAAACAGTCTGCCTTTTGAAATGCCTCAGGCATCATCCTTTTTCATCCCCTGCCTCAGCCCCTCATGCCAAAGCAGTGTGTGTCCTGGGCCTGCCCCCAGGGCCATGGAGTGCCCCAGCCCCTCCACCCCCTGCAGTGTGCAAATGGGCTGGGGCTGCGGGTGGGGGTGGAGGTGTTTAAGGGCAACAATAGTGTATTGGGGATAGAGGACTATGCAGAATGATGGGGTGTGGAGGGGCAGGGCTGTAGGGAGAAGATCCAGTGAGGAGTGGCTGTAAGCCTCATCCCACCGGTGTTCATTTCCTAGCGCTGTAATAACACGGAGTAGGGCCTTCAAAAACAGATACTTATTCTCTCACAGTTCGGGAAGTTGGAAGGTCGAGATCAAGGTGTGGGCAGGATTGGTTCCTCCTGAGAGGTGTGAGGGAGAATCTGTTCCATGCCTTTAGCTTCTGGTGGGTGGCTGGCTTTCTTTGGTTTACAGAAGCATCTCCCCCACCTCGGCCTTCCTCTTCATACATTGTCCCTGTGCATGCGTCTGTCTCTAGGGGTAAACTTCTTTTTATTTGATTGATAAACATAGTTTTATTGATTTCAGACAGGGAGAGAGAACTAGAAACATCAATGATGAGAGAGAATCATTGATCGGCTGCCTCCTGCACGCCCCACACTAGGGATCGAGTCACAACCTGGGCATGTGCCCTGACAGGGAATCAAACTGTGACCTCCTGGTTCATAGGTCGATGCTCAACCACTGAGCCAACTTTTTATTTTATTTATTTATTTTTAAATATATTTTTATTGATTTCAGAGAGGAGGGGAGAGGAAGAGACAGAAACATCAATGATGAAAGAGAATCATTGATCGGCTGCCCTCTGCATGCTCCCTCCTGGGGATTGAGCCTATGACCCAGGCATGTGCCCTTGACCAGAATCAAACCGGGGACCCTTCAGTCCTCAGGCTGACGCTCTATCCACTGAGCCAAACCAGCTAGGGCTAAACTTCTTTTTATAAAGACACTAATCATATTGGATTAGGGCCACCCTAATGACTACATTTCAACTTGATCACCTCTGTAAAGACCCTATTTCTAAATAAGGTCATTCAACTGGTGGTTGAGACGTCAGCATACCTTTTGGGGGTAGACAATTCAACTATATCACTCCCTACCAGCTCCACCTCACCTCCAAGCACTTGTTGGGGGAGGCCAAGGATGACGTTAAGTATGTATTAGACTCAGGCATCTCCCTGTAGATGTGGCCTGGATGGAATACAGAAGGGTCACATCTCACTTCTTCCTTCTTTGTCCTCCCACCAGCCTATCCTTCACACTACCAAAATCAAAGTGGGATACAGGCAACTCTCAGTCACAGGAGGAACCATAGGACGTTGACTCCTGGAACCCATCCTTCGTAGTCACTTGACTGTGGTCCTTTCCCCTTGCTGGGCCTCATTTTCCCTATCGTGAAATATAAGTGTTGAGTGGGACACAGGTAGATGACTATTAGGTATGAGGAGCATTGCACGGAGGAACTTGTCACTCATCATTGATCTAAAGCTCACAGGTGATGTGCTATTTTCCGTGAATTAAAACAGACTCAAGATTGTTTCTATAATAGGATATATCTATTCATCTACACACAGCATCATGTGCCCATCACCCCAAGCAAAGTCTCTTTCAGTCACTTGAGTTCCACATTGCCTTCCTGAGTAAGAAGAAAGAAAAAGGGGGAGGAGGGGGTTTGGGATTATGTGAGTGCACTGGGAATTCTGCATAACCCCAAGTCATCCCATTGGGACCCATGGGAGCATGTGAATGTCATGGGCATGAGTAAACAAAGGAGACAGTGGTTGGGCTGAGTGATGGCAAAACTTCTTCCCAGCCTGGCTGGTGTGGTTGAGCTTCAACCTATGAACTAGGAGGTCACAGTTCAATTCCCAGTGAGGATACATGCTAAGATTTCAGTTTCGATCCCCCGTGTGTGGGCGCACAGGAGTCAGCCAATCAGTGATTCTCTCTCATCACTGATGTTTCTTTCTCTCCCTCTCCCTTTCTCTCTGAAATTAACAAAAATGTATTAGAAGAAGAAGAAGAAGAAGAAAAAAAAAAACTTCCCAATTGAATATGCCGGCTCACTGACCACCAGGTTGCTGACCTCATGATTCTCACAGTGACCTCCAGGGCCTTGACTGGGGTTCCTTCATTTCCTTTTCACACTGGGCCACTGATGTTTGCAGGAAGAAGAATCCACCCCAGGACTGTTAGAACTTCTGTCTCACCTTCCAGCTTCTCCCACCAGCCCTGGCTCTGACCTCAAGGGCCATACGAAACTCAGGTACTCTGCTCTTTCCATACAAACACTGCAGCCATGTGGAAAAAGCCACCAGGCCTGTCCTGGGCCTGTGCTTCTCCTACTCCCCCAGCTGACACTGGTTTGCAGAAGTCTCTGGCAAACCTGCAGCTTGTCTTCTTTCCTCTTAACATGTGTCCCCCTCCTCTGGGTGCTAGACATGATGCTCCAAGTGGTCAGAATCCAGATTATCACCTCTTGCCTCAAAATTTCTACCTTTATTGTTTTATTGAATTTATGGGGGTGACATTGGTTTGCAAAACCATATAGGTTTTAAGTGTACAAGTCAATAAAACTTCATCTACACACAGCATCATGTGCCCATCACCCCAAGCAAAGTCTCTTTCAGTCCCCGTTTTTCCTCCCTTTGCTCACATCCACCTTGCTTCCTCTGGCTATCACCACACTGTTGTCTGTGTCTGTGTGTTATATGTATACTAGAGGCCCAATACACGGGTAGGGTTCCTCGGCCTAGCCAGCGATCAGTCCTGATCAGGGCCTATTGGGTCCAGCTGGCTAGGGAGGGACAGCAGGAGGGCTCCAGGGTGTGTTTGGCCCTCTTGCCCAGTCCCAGTGGGCAGGACCCCAGCAGCAACTAACCAACCAGTCAGAGCATCTTCCCCCTGGTGGCCAGTGAGCATCATAGCAACTGGTCAAGTGGTCAACAGAATGGTCAACCAATTGGTCAGGCTCTTAGCATATTACGCTTTTATTACATAGGATATGTCTTTTTGGTTAACCCTTCACCTTCTAGATTCAGCGCTTCCCTCTGACAGTTGTCAGCCTGTTCCATGTATCCATGCCTCTGTTTCTATTTTGCCCATCAGTTTATTTTATTCATTAGATTCCACATATAAGTGAGATCATATGGTATTTTTCTTTCTCTGACTGGTTTATCTTACTTAGAATAATAATCTCCAGGTGCATCCAAGCAATTGCAAAAAGGTAAAATTTCCTTCTTTTTCAGAGGTGCATAGTATTTCATTGTGTAAATTACCACAGCTTTCATTACCGACTCTTCTGTTGATGGGCATTTGAGCTGTTTTCAGATCTTGGCTATTTTTAATAATTCTGTAATGAATGTAGGTGTGAATATATTCTTTCAAATTAATTGTTTCCAGTTTCTTAGGACATATGGCCAGAAGTGGGATCACTGGGTCAAAGCAGTTTCATTTTTAATTTTTTGAGGAAAACCCATACTGTTTTCCACAGTGGCTGCACCGTCTGCATTCTTAGCAATAGTGCACAAGGGTTCCCTTTTCTTCACATCCTCACCAGCACTTGTTGTTTGTTGATTTGTTGATAATAGCCAATCTGGCAGGTATGAAATAATATCTCATTGTGGCGTGTTTTTTTAAATATATTTTATTGATTTCAGAGAAGAAGGGAGAGGGAGAAGGAGAGGAAGATAGAAAGATCAATGATGAGAATAATTCATCAGCTGCCTCCTACGGTCCACTGGGGATAGACTCTACAACCTAGGCATGTGCCCTTGATTGAAATTGAACCCGGAACGCTTCAATCTGCAGACCTATGCTGTATCCACTGAGCCAAACCAGCTAGGGCTCATTGTGGTTTTAATTTGCCACTCTCTGATGATTGTGACATTGAGCACTTTTTCATATGTCTATTGGCCATCTATATGTCCTCTCTAGAGAAGAATCTATTCAAGTCCTTCACCCATTTTTTAATTGGGTTGTTTGTCTTTCTGGTGTTGAGTTGTGTAAATTCTTTATATATTTTGGAAATTAATCCCTTATCAGATATATCATTGGCAAATGCAGTGGGTTCCCTTTTCTTTGTTAATGCTTTCTTTTGCTGTGCAAAAGCCTTTTAGTTTGATGTAGTCCCATTTATTTTTTCCATTGTCTCCCTTAACCAAGGAGATACTAGTATATCAGCAAAACTATTGCAATGTGAGATGCCTGAGATTTTACTACCTATTTCTCTTCCAGGATTTGTATGGTTTTGTAACTTACATTTAAGTCTTTTATTCATTTTGAGTTTATTCTTGTATATGGTATAAATTGGTGGTCTAGTTGCAGTTTTTTGCATATACCTGTCCAATTTTCCCAACAACATTTACTGAAGAGACTGTCTTTACCTCATTGTATGCTTTTACCTCTTTTGTGAAATATTAATTGAGCTTAATGGCTTGTGTTTGTTTCTGGGTTCTCTGTTCTGTTCTCTTGATCAATGTGCCTGTTCTGATGCCAGCATCATGCTGTTTTAATTACAGTGGCTTTGTAATATAGTTTGATATCTGGTATTGTGACACTCCCCTCCCTCCCAACTTTGTCTTCTTTCTCAAGATTGCTGAGGCTATTTTGGATTCCATACATTTTTGGAATATTTGTTCTATTGAATAGATCTGTGAAATATGCCATTGGAATTGCATTGATTCTATACAGTGCTTTGGGTGATATGGATATTTTAATGGTTTTAATTCTTCCAATCCATGAACACAATAAATGCTTTCACTTAT